CAACACCTAGGAGACTGTCACAAAGTACGTGCTCCACAAATGTGTGGAACAAAATATGGCCTTTCAGCTCTGCAGCATGAGCTCCAAGTCCCTTGGGGTGGAAGAGGAGCTGTCGGCCCCAGAGCTGGGATGAAGCAGAGGCAAAGGGAGGCTGTCAGCTGGGGAATGTCTGGTGTGCTGCCCTTAGGGAAGGTGGTACTTGGTGGAGTCGGTCTTTGGCTTCTGTCCCTTTCCTTCCCCATGCTTGCCCTCCCTGAACTTCTTTTTCCTAGGGTGGTCAGCGGAGGCCTTGGACAGATGCTTTTACTGAGATGAATGGCCTGGTCTTTTTGGCAGCCTCAGGTGGTGTTTCCAACCATGTCTTGACCTGAGATCAGTTGGTGATTTCAAAAAACTCTGGGGACAGAGCGTCTCAGCCTGTAGTTCTCAACTGGAAACTTTTTACCCCTGAGGACATTTGGCAATTCCAGAAACACCTTTGGTTGTTACAGCTGGGGGAGTGCCACTGGCATCTAGTGGGTAGAACCTAGCGATCCTGCAAATGTACCCCACAGGATAGCATTATCCGGAGTTAGCCCACAATGAAGAATTATCCAGCCCAAGATGCTAGCAGTGTCCAGGCTGAGAAACCTCGCTGTAGGCCAGCCCAGGCTTGCCAGCAGATGCTGTCTCCAGCCTGGAAAGCAGGTGTGTCCCACAGACACTCTTTTTTCCTGAAAGGACTCTAGAATCCATATCCTCCTTATTCCCAGCCCCAGCTCATTCAGCCTCTTTGGTCAGATTTGCTCTGTGAAAGGCATGTACATAGAAGAGGCCCCTCAGCATTTTTTCCAGAGCCCTGTGGAACCTTGATAGAGACCTGCTTCCAAGAGTGAGAGCCTAGCTCTGCTTCTGCAGCTTTAGTCCAGGAGAACCACGGGAACCGCCCCCCCCTCATCTTGCTGTCTCCATCCTCATGTTTCTCTTCAATCCTGTTCCTCCCACCCCACCTTCTACCATTTCCCCCAGTCCTCCAGAGATTAATGTGATAATTGCCATGCGTGCCTGTTTACGCAGGGAGTGGGTGCACTCACCACCCCCAATTAGGCAGGTTCCCAAAGGAACACATTTCACGGTGTCAGGACTGGTACCACCAGGCACTCCCTGTGCAGGTGGGCTGCCACCCCCGACTGCTTTCTCTGTCTGTCATTACCCTTGTCACGTGCACATGTACGTGTGTGTGTGTGTGTGTGTGTGTGTGTGTGTGTCACTTGGGGAGTCAGCAGGTGAGAAAGACAGAGAGCGGCCAGCCTGCCGGTCGAGGGGCTTGGCTTGGCTGGGTTGGGTGGGTGGAGAATCTGCCTTCACTAGGAGGACATTGCCACAAAGAAGAACACTCTTCTGTAACGGCTGACAAAGAGTAGGTGTCCCATGAATGGTGGGGAATGAAGACGCTGCTCGGGCATCCTTCTCTGAAGAGAGAAGCCTGGTTTATCTTTAGCTGCTCCACCACAGCAGGCTGGGCAGGGGAGGTTCCACTGTGAGACTCTTGGGCCAGAATCCAGTGGAACACGTTCAGAAGGCTGTGGGCCTCCTTCCCCAGCATCTTGCTCAGAGTACTTAGCATGGCTGCCTCCGATTCCTGAAGGAAGATGCGCGAGGGAAGGTAGAGTGTGGTGACGCCCCAGGCAAGTGGCTTGTTGGAGTCGCAGAAGCGGAAGGGTTTGGAGACAGGAGCAGAGAGCAACTGCTTCTCACCTTGGCAGCCCTAGTCCTTGTCCCCTCCCACTGTGACACAGACACATGGACTCTTGGGAGAAAACACAGTCACAACTCTGAGGCCGCACTGGCTACTTTGTCCTTGGCCTTCTGACTCCCACCTCACGTGGCTTCAGGGCACTTGCTCACTGGAGAGTTGTTGATTACTTTCTTCTTTTTTAATAATGATGAATCAGAAGGAGATTGAAGTTCTAATTAGCATCAGAAAGAAACTTGCCATTTTGGAGGAGGGAAATTTGAAGTCCTTTGCCCCCTTCCTGCTGAGTTATGTCCCCTTGTCCTACTGGATTTGTCATTGATCCATTGACAGGCATGTGAGGTGAGGGTGTGGCCTCCTAGTGGGGTAAGATGGGAGGGGAGTAACCAGGAGGAAACCTGAGGGAGAGGAGAGAAGTGTAGAAAGGGTGTGGCAAGTCTCTTAAAAGGTTTGTGAATAATCTCGGGGAGCTGTCAAGCTGCCTTCTCCAGAAGAATCTTTATACCGTCAGTCATCTGTAATGACCCCCAGGGTATAATGCCGCTGGCCCTGGTGTCCTCCTAGCCTTTCTTTTTCTCCTTCTCTTCCCCTTCCTCCTCTTTTTCTCATCAAACAGGGCCTGATGTCATAGTGGATGACAATTTTTCTTAAAAAACAATTCAGACAAAGCCTGAGGGGAATATCAGAATGAACAATTTTGGGGGGTACGTTTTAAGCACGAGAATCCTCTTATTCAAATTGTGGTCGTGTATTGGTTAGTTGACAAATACTTCATGTGCCAACCACTTCACTAGGTACCAGGTATAGAAATGAACAGTTAAGTTTCTTGCCTTAAGGTGGGTTAAACCAAAGCCAAAGCATTCTCACAACACATGGATAAAGAGACACTGTCTGTCCTTGTTTTTTTCTGGAAGAATTGAGGAGTGTGTTCCAGACTTTTGGTCCATGAGGAGAGTCCTTTCATCCCTGCATTTCACAGGCTGTATTTCCTCATATGTTAAAAGATTTCCTTCAAAAAAGTGGGTTTCATAATCCAGGCAGTATATGAAATGATATTGAAGTTAGTAATATTTCTTTCATGAGTCTTCTCACAGGCTAAGGGGAAAATATAATCTGTTGTGTTTCCTAAGTTCCTTTGGTTACAGAAGCTCATTTTCCACAGAACACATTAACGTCTTACAGATGCCTAGCAAGGAGAACACTATTTGGGAAATGCTCTTCACTCTACAGCCTCCCTGGCAAATCATCCCCCAACTGAAATTGCTCTAGCCATCCTCAAACTGTAGCTCAGTCCCTCCTGGGACCAAAGACACCTTAACAGCATGTTTCATCTTTGCCATGGCTGGTACCAACCCAGGTGTATTGACAGCTGAACCCTGATCTGGGTGTTGGGAGCAGACTCGGTCCTTGCTGCCAAGGAATGCTGGGGGCGGGGGGCACTGGCTAAGCCATATAGTAGATGAAACTTGTTGGTCAGGTGCGCCACTGGTGAGTCTTTACAGTCTTTACAAAATGTAGCATTTGTAATCATGAATAAAGATAGAGCTATTTATACAAGGGTCATGTAATCCATCCTTCAGCTTACAGGAAGGACCATGTCTTAACTGTCTCCGAAAAAACAGCTTCCTATGTTCATTAAAATCCCTTGTGGCTGGCCCTCAGTGTCTAGTTTTTCTACATCTTCTTTCTGATAATCAGGAGCAGTTTTCTCTGAGGTCTGGTCCGCATCTTCCCTGCTTGCACTTAACTGACCAGACCTGGTTGAACTAAAGAGTTAGATCTTATGCACACTGAAATCGGCAGATCCCCACCTTTGCCCCATCCAGTTCAGCAGGTGTTTGTTTTTAATTTATATTCTGCTTCATTTGCAGTCATCTGTCTCTGAACAGTGTGGGGACAAGACGAAGACACAAGTTTGGTGAAAGAGGTTGCCTTAAAAGCTATTTTTAATGGAAAAATCTATACGGTGATAGCTTCCACGAACAGTGGGAAGCTATATTCTGTGTACTGACATATTTGAATGGGAGGCAGAAAGAAAATTAGGTAATTTTGAGAGAAAAGATAGAATGCCCTAGAAGTCCACGGAAAGCATGAGAACAATGAGTCAAAATATGTTTGCAAAGTTGAGTAGCAAGAGGGAGAAAAAGGTAAATCACAGGGACAAAGGAGCACTTTGCCATAGATATTCTGAGTTCAGATCTTAATTTTACTAATTTAGCCTGTGAATTTTAGGCATGGCATTTGACTTTGGCCTTGTTTCTCCAGTGAACTGAGAATAAAATATCTTTTAACTGTTTCAAATGGGTATTAAAGTTTGCGTGTGAGGGGCCGGTGTGGGAATGGGAGGATTTCAAAGCCCTGCATACGTAAAATGCGATTCAAGGAGACTATCTAGAAAGATCTGGAGTTGATACTATGGGGAGAGAGAGTCAAAGTGAAGTTTAGTTGAGAGGCTCAAGTGTTAGAGTTTTCAAAATGTTCCCAAACTGTTTCTAGGTCCTAATAAGGCACCGTTCCAAGAGTTGCTGCCTTTGGCTAAGCCATGTGGTCTAATCCTCCGTCAAACCCCCACCATTCAAGGGCCTTGCATCTCACTTGTAGTATAAAAATCCAGAATATGAATTGCCAAGCACTTTTCACTTCACTGTGTGTTAGCATTAGAGAGAGAGGAAGAGATCGCTCTTCAGACTGATTCCTTGTTCTGTCCAGAGCCTTGCTGGGGTCAAGCCTGAGCCTGCTCTGTACTAGTGGACTCTGATAGAAGAAAGCAAGCCAGAGCTGAGGATCAAGGGCTGAGCAGGATGTGGAGGACACTAATGTCTCCCAAGCAGCCCTGTCAAGGCTCTTGCCAGCATCCCTGGAATAGACCGATAGACCTAGCTTGCCTCTGACTTTTTGAGAATTTGTCCAGTTTAGACTGCAAAAGCTTGGAACTGACATCACCAAACACTATAAAACCTGTAATTGTTTGCATGATCTTGGAAAAGTACTTGACCTCTCTGGATTCAGTTATCTCAGCTGTTAAGTGAGGGTGTTGGACAATTCCTGCTCAGGATATCGCGTGAGGCTCATGCGGTGTCCTTTCCTCTTTACATGGTGGAATAGGAGTTAACCCACAGAAACACCAAATCGGGAATGAAGCAGGCAGTGTTAATTGCATTACCTTGTGCTTGTTTCACCATGGATGTGAAGCTTCGGGAAGGGAGACCTCCTTCTGGCAGATGGTTTCGGTAGAACATTAAGGAACAATTTTTCTTTCTTTCAGACCAATGATGCCTTAGGAGCCACCTGGAACTGGCTGTATTTCATCCCCCTCATCATCATTGGATCCTTCTTTGTTCTCAACCTAGTTCTGGGAGTGCTCTCCGGGTAAGCCAGACGTTCCTCTCTCCTCCTAACTTCTTTGAACTGTAAACCAATGCTCCTGACTACCGACCAATTCATTCATCTAACGTTCTTTTAGAAGACATCTACTGAGCAGCCCCAATGTGCCAAGTGCTATTCTAGCAGCTGCGGATACAGTACTGAACATTGTTCTAATCATGTTTATTTTTCTTAGGAGTTAACAAGTATTTAAACCACGTGCAACATTGAACATGATATCTAGTGAGAGTTCATGTATCCATCCATCTTTTCATTCAGTCATTCAACAGTCATAGACCTTCTTTGTCAAACACTGTGCTGGTTGCGAGGGATATAAAGTTGAATAAGATGTAATCTTTACCTTCAAAGGTTATTATTCTGTCTTTATTGAACATCAAATCCCATATTTGTAGCTTGGATTAGTGTACCTCAGTCAGCAAGGACTCAGTGTCCAGTGCCATGGTAAGCATTGCAAAGAGCACACAAAGTCTCTTAAGAAAATTGTACTTTGTGGGGCACCTGGGTGGCTCAGTTGGTTAAGTGTCCCACTCTTGATTTCAGCTGGGGTCATGATCTTGGGGTAATGGGATTGAGCCCTGCATCGGGCTCTGTGCTCAGCATGGAGTCTGCATGGGATTCTCTCTCTCACTCTCTCAATAAATAAATAAAATCTTAAAAAAAAAAAAAAAGAAAATCATATTTTGTAGACAGGACAACACACTTGAAACAGGGAATGGAAATTCTTTTACTTACTAATATAAGCTATTGATCATTTGGTGGAAGGAACAAATCTATTTAGTCTGAAGTTATCAGGAATGGCTTCATAAAGGACTGGGCTTTTGCTTGCATGTACAAGATGTAATAGGATAAAATAGAATATATGTGAGTGAACATTCCAGGAAGGAGAGCACTATACCATAAGCAAAATTGAAGAAATGGGACTCAGATTCTAGTGGGAAAAGAATGTTATGCAACCTGACTTATCTAGAGCTGATACTTTACTTTGGGAAATGAAAAATATAAAATTGGGGCTATTACAGGGGTCGATTTTAGAGGGTCTTAGATTTTTCTAAGCAAAACTGGACTTAATTTCTTCTCTGAGTAGCATAAGTTCTTCAGGTGGAAATTAGATGGTGGTGCTTCTGTTTCAGCATAGCAGATTGAACCAAGTTTGTTATGTCTTGTAACTCTACTAACACAGGAAATAAATTTTAAGAAGGGCATAGTGATAGAACAAGAGAGGAAATGACAAAGATGAGAGATGTCAATAAAAGTTTTGAAGGCAGAGAGTAAATGGTAACTGATCTAGTGGTGGGAAAGCTGAGGTTTAATTGCCTTTGGTGAGGAATGCCAATAAAAAGGCAAAATGATTGTCCTTCAGAAGCTTGCACAGTCCTGGAGAGGCTCGGGAATTCAAGGTACCACGTATGTCTGAGAGATGAAGTATGGGTGGCACTAAAAACAAGAGGATTGGTCAAAAGTCCTCATAAGGAACACTTAGATGCCCTCTTGCCCAACATCCTAGATCTTTACCCCCAAACACTTCTGACAGGTATATGCCCCGCCCAACCCCCCACCCCAGCCAAAGTCAGAAGACATCCTGTCTCTGTAGAGGCTGAATCAGAAATTTGCAATGGTAAATCAGGTACTTCTGAGGGTAGGGGTGATGTATTGTAGTGAAGTCCACAAACTGAACATTATGCTCCCAGCCCACATCTACTGTTGACTCATAAAAGTGGATCAATCTGGTAAGGGTTAGTAGGATTCCTCTGTGGGGAAACTGTCCATCTTAAGAGAAGAATCTTATGTATGTTGATATCTGAGGATGGACAGAGAAATGGCTCCCACCCATCACCCTCAGTGAGGCTCCTATTAGTTTCCTATGGCTGCTGCAACAAATTAACACAACTAGGTGGCTTCACACTATGAAAGAAATTAATTCTCTCACAGTTCTGGAGGCTAGAGATCCAAAATCTGGCAGGGCATTACTCCCTGTGAGGGCTCGAGGGGAGAATTTATTTCCTTCCTCTTCCAGTCCCTGGCGACTCTGCAAGTATTCCTTGGCTAGTGGCTGCATTACCCTGGTCTCTTCCTCTGTGGTCACATTGCCTCCTTCTCTTTTGTCTAAAATCTCCCTGGGCCTCTTTCTTATGAGGATACTTGTCACTGGATTTAGGGTCACTTGTATATTCCAGGGTGACCTTTTCATCTCAAGACCCTTAACTTAATTGCATCTGCAAGGACTCTTTTTCCAAATAAGGTAACATTCATAGGATCCAGGAATTAGGATGTGGACATATTTTTTTTTTTGGCAGGGGCATTCAACCCACTACACTCATCATTCTAGAAGCTCCAGCTATACACACGAGTTTCCAATAAGACTTTTGAGACTTGCTCTTAAATATTAATGCACAGCTAGGGATCATCAGCATTTGAAGAAAATGTCCAAAACAAAAGACAAAAATAAAATAATACATAGAAAAAAGGATTTAGAGGGAATATGAATGATGCAGGGAGCAAAAGATTTAAAAAGCATGATTGATATCAGCAGAGATAGAAGAGAAATAATTTTATCCACAAAATAACATTGCTATTTAAAAAGGAAAATTTAGCCATTAAGAAGAGCCCTTGGGGATTAATGTAAAATAAATAATGCAAAATTTATATTAATGTAACATGAATTAATGTAAAAATGTAAACATGTAATGAAAATAATGTAGTAAATGGTTGGAATATGAAATTAATGAAATCACCTAGAAAGTAGAACAAAAATAAGAAAATCAAAGTGTTCATCCATCATTCAACTATTAAGAGTTCCATAAAGAGAACAGGGAAGTGGAGAGGGAGAAATTTACAAAGAAAAATACTAAAAATATTTCCAGAATCAGTAAACACACCTTGCCAGAGTAAAAGGTCTGTGGAAACATGTGCAAGGATATTCTTTCCAGCAGTGGTTTTTGGTGATGGGGAGTTGGAGAACCTAGACATCCATAATTGGGAGGGTAGATAGGTAAGCTGTTGGATGCACACCATGACATACTAGCCCAATTAGGAGCAACAAATACCATATACACATGGCAACATAGAGTAATTTAAAAGCATAGTTTAATGAAAACAAGAAATAGCATGGTATAATATCACCCACATAAATAAAAAATACATGCACACACAATACATAGTTTGTAAGAATGCATTCAAATAAAAAGTATACATTGAATACAAATTTCTCTTGCTATCTGAAAGTAAAACATTCTTTGTTTTTTATTGAAATATAATTAAAATACAATGTTAAATTGGTTTCAAATGTACAACCTATTGATTTGACAATTCTGTACATTACCTGGTGCTTACCATGTAGTCACCATCTGTCACCATACAACATTATTACAGTATTATTGATTACATTCCCTAAACAGTACTATTTGGCTTCATGGTTTATTTTATAACTAGAAGTTTGTAACTCAGTCCTTTTATCATTTTGCCCATCCCCCCACTCACTTCCCCTCTCTGGCAACCACCAGTTCTCTGTATTTAAGAATCTGGTTTTTGTTTGTTTGTTCATTTATTTTTTATACTCCACATATAAGTGAAATCCTATTGTATTTGTCTTTCTCTGTCTGGCTTATTTCACTTAGCATAATACCCTCTAGGTCCATCTGTGTTGTCACAAATGACAAGACCTCATTCTTTTGAATGAAAAAGTAATATTCCATTTTCTATATATACCACATCTTCTTTATCCTTTCCTCTATGGATGGACACTTGTGTTGCTTCTATATCTTTGCTATTGCAAATAGTGCTACTGTAAGCATAGGGGTGCTTATATCTTTTTAAATTAGTGTTTTTGTTTTCTTCGGATAAATACCTAGTAGTGCAATAATGGATCATATGGTATTTCTATTTTTAAATTTTTGAGGAACCTCCATACTGTTTTCCACCGTAGTTGCTCCAACTTATAGTCCTACCAACAGTATATGAGGGTTCCCTTTTTTCCATGTTCTCACCAACACATATTTCTTATCCTTTTGCTACTATCCATTCTGATATATGTGTGATGTGATATCTCATTGTGTTTTTGATTTTCATTTCTTTGATTAGTGATGTTGAGCATCTTTTCATGGGTCTGTTGGCCATCTGTGCATTGTCTTTAGACAAATGTCTATCCAGGTCCTCTGTCCATTTTTTAGTATGATTTTTTGGGGTGTTTTTTTTTTTTTTGGTGTTGAATTGAAAGTAGAGCATTCTTATGAAACCTTTCATAAACCAATATGACATGAAGCAAAGAAGCAATTACCATTTCATAAAGGCAAAAATGCTCTTTGAATTTTTTTCAGTTATCGAAAATAGGTACTAATGTGGGTTTTTTCATGAAAGTGAAGTGGTGTAAAATGAAATTTCAGATACTCGGGGAAACCAGTATATTGTAATGGTAATTTGTATGGCAGAGAGAGGGGAGGCAGGTATAGAGAGAGATAAAAGGAAACAAATGAATTAAGTAATAAAAAACTGCCCACTGAGCAGTTGACACAACTAATGAAAAGAGACCACAGCAAGATAAAGTCATCACAAAATTTCAGAGCATCTGAATAAAGATAATATTCTAAAAGCTTCTGGTTATTGGGAAGGCGATATATTTTGCCAATGCAAAATCAAGAATTAGGGCGGCTTTGGGTTTCTCATTGATACTGAAAGTTAGAAATGAACAGAGAAGTTCCTAAAACTTTTTGAAGGAAAAAAATTTCCAAGGTGGAATTCTATACCCAGCCAAAATAGCAGTAATTTGTAAGAATGGAATAGCAGTATTTTGGGACACTCTTTCTGAAGAAGTTACTGCAGAATGTGAGTCACTAATTCCTAAAAATAAGGAATTAATTGAAGAATGAGAAGGACATGATATTCATGCAAACAAGGGATTCAATAGAGGAGAGAGGCAAAGGGGATTCCAAGATGATGAGGGGAAGTCGAAAGAGCAGCAAGTTCAGATTTGAATAGGGTGATAGAGAGCT